GTTATTTATTATTTTACATATTTCTTTTTGGTTTATTTTTATAAAATAATACACTTAAATTCGTTTTGGAAAGTTTATGCATAATTGCTATTTAACAAGGTTCATACAAAATTAATTTAGCAAAAACATTTCAAACTCGTTTTACCTATTTATATGCCCCTTGTATTATGTATTTACAAAAAATATGCATATCATTCAATAATCAGTTTGGCATTCCATAGTTAAACCAATAGTATTTGCCTGAAATAATTACAGGGAAAAAGTGTGTAAATTGCAAATTGGGGTTGCTGTGGGTTGGAACATTTTCGCGTTACTACGTCCAAATATACCATAGTTATTTATTTTGGTAAAAAATATATTTTTCTCTAGAACATATTTAATAGCAAAAATGGATCAAGTATATGTGGATTGTTTATAGCAAAAAATATGAAAATAATATATTATAATAAAAGGTTTCAATTTATTTAGAACAGTGTTCGCAGCTTAAAAAAACAGTATGGATTAATCTAAAGGGTTTCAAATTACATGGAACATTTTTGCAGAAATAAAAAATGTATAAAGATTTTGCAAAAACGTTCCAACCCACATGGATCATTTAAGAAACCATTAAATGTGCGTTTTATGAATTTAGTATAATGTTCCAAGACAAGTGGAACATTATAACGATATGTTATTCTATTAAGAGTTTTTAACAATATGTTTCAGTATGCATGTAATGTTTTTACTTTATTTTGAGTACACGTCCTTGGCATAATGGTGGGTTGGAACATTTGGGTTAAACTTTATTGATGAAACTAACTTAAAAATACTAGCATCTTTGTGTGCACATGATGTAATATGGCAAAAATAGTACCCTGGTTATGGTAACTCATTTTCGAGTGACTTGTGGGTTGGAACGTTTTCGCGTAACTACGTCCAATACATAATTTGTGTTTAATTATTTCACAAAATGTAAAACAGAGAATGCTGATTAGTCACCTATAGGTAGATAATTGGTGTAACTCAGACCAATGGATTTGTTATAAAATATATGAAGGAAGGCGGTTTATATTTAACTAGTGACCGCCTGCAACATCTTTTGCGTAAACTTTAGTTTTTTTGGAGAATTTCAGAAATACCTGTCATTTTTCCGAGACAAGGACGACGAGGACAAGTGTTTTTGTCTCAATCCAAGTCATACAGTATATAGGTATGAATTTTCTTCCTAATTAGTTCAGTAGTTTTTACTTCATTGAGTAAAGTATGTTTGTAAACATACAAACGCAGATACATACAAACTTTCTCAATTGTATAATTAAATGGGCTAGGATATAGTAGGATAAAAAGTTGTAACGTACCTTAGGGGCATCCTTTCTTTTGGAAATTTCATTTTACAGTTATTTCATCCATATAGTCAACAATATCAGCATACCACCATTATTTATCTTATTCATTACTGGAAACGCACAATTTAGAAAATATCACACACTATTTATCATTTTGCAAATACGTATCAGAATCCCATCAACTAAAATCGCTATTCTTAAATTGCTGTACGCTTACCGACATTACTCTATATTTATTTATATTATCATCGCAATTTTCATTTTCCTTGTTTTACTCCGCTTTTATTTGTTTTTAGGCATAATTTTGTTTATTTATTTTCCTGACACATTTGACATCTCTGTTTTTTCACCGTTGCCATGGATATCCATGACACGGATACTCTTTCTAACTGCCTCTATGCCTTACCAACCTCCACAGAATACCTATAAAAGGCTGAGCAGCTCTGTCCCTAGAAAAATTTCTTTGGCAAAAGTTGCCAACGTAACTTTTGCTGGTTTCTGAAAAGTCCGGCTGCCCCGGGACTCAAGCAAAGACCTCAAAGCCGTTCGGCATCCTTTAGCTCTCTAGACGTCTTAATCTTCACTACCAAAGCACTATACGTTCTACCTCATCGGCGGTATTGCCGCCCGGTCTCCAGCTGCATCGTCTAGCACTAGCAGCTTCGGTCCGCCTATTAGGAGTGCCGCTCGACCCTCAATTCCAAGCCACCACTGAGAGGATCGCCGACGACCCACACCCACTACACCACTACACACTGCACACCCCACACTCCTCCTTTTCTCCCTTTTTTATTTTACTTGTAAATAATTATTATAACGTTTGTAAATATATATATATATATATATTCTGTAATCTGTATTCCTGTTCGTATTTCTTCTTACCCTTTTTACTAATTACTCCTCCTTGCGTCGTATTTCACATTACTGAGGGAATTATTTCCCCATTATGGGAAGATAATTTTTCTTCGACGATGTTCTTTCACCAATATTATGTCTGTGTTTAGCATCGTGGAGTGCATCGTACAACTATATTTTTTAAGCATCCTGTAGATATGTTAGAACGAAAACCCTTCAACTAACGGTCTGTCTGTAAGGCTATAAATTCTTATGGTGATGAGACATAACATGCTTAGTACGGTAAGCATCGCCTGGCACTCCTCGGCCCTGCACGTCAACATGCCCTATATTTTTTAAAGTCTCGGTAAAATATAATTAAAACCTTCTTTCTTTAAGTTTTAAATATTTATACAACATAGTTTATTCATATTTAAGTTTAAAAAAAATTGCTAAGCGTTTACGATGAGCACAAGTACCCGCTAGGTGAACCGAAAGGTGTCTAATATATAATTTTATGGCAATATTTTTTCATTACAGCACGAAAGTTTTTGTAACACTTCACATGATAACCTGTATTATCATGAAGTTCATGATCTCCTCTGGCAAAGAAATATCATTAAATTTTAGATTATGTTGTTTTCTAATTTTTAATATTGATTTGCTTTAGTCTAAAGTACTTGTTGAAAATTATAGTTTTGTCATCAATATCTTGGTTGCAAATCACACAAACAACGTGTGCAGATTCCATCTTACTCAGTATTTACTTAAATATGAATAATCGTTGGCACAACTGACGTACACAAGAATAACTGCACAATTAATATTAATATTTCATTGAAATTTTAATCATTAAAATAATTTACAAAATAAAACAGTGAAATTCTTCGTAAGATTTTACATAGATAAAGCGTTGTTAAATCCGACGGGTTTTTTAGGTATACGACCTATTTTCCAGTTAGATAAACTGTCTCAATCGCACCACCGAGTTCACGTTATGCCGCTTACTTGCACTTCCATATCATCTTTCCCCTCGCCTGGCAAAGACTTATGCTAGCGAGAACCGCCTGGCATTCTACCTATTCTCTACCTCTACTCTACATATTCTATAATTTCAATATAACAGAATCAAGTTTATTTTAATGTATATAGTACACACCATTCGCTTTACCTGGCGGGTACTTGTGCTCATCGTAAACGCCTGGCAATTTTTATTGAAACTTAAAAATGAATAAACTAAATTGTATAAAAATTTCAAGCTTACAGCAACAAGTTTTTTTTTAATATTTGACCGACACTTTCAAACATATAGGTCTTGATAACGTGCAGGGCTGAGGTGTGCCCGGCGATGCTTACCTTTCTAAGCATGTTATGACTCATCACCTTAAGAATTTCTACCCTTACAGACAGACCGTTACTCGGAGGGTTCAGTAGCTCTTGGTCTACAATATGTTATGGAATCGTATTTGTATTTAGCATACCGGACAAATCCCTACGATTTCTGGCGTACTCTGTTTGATATGAAATAAATAAAAAAAGAAGATGTCCAACTTGTACTTGTCTAATAGTTCGGTACAAACTGAACACTTTTCTCGGCGTTTGATATTAATCCTCTTTCATTATAACTACGCCGTATTTCAGGCTGTTTCATTAATCTATAATGACTTTCTGTCATATTCAAATGAAACGTTGTTAAATTTAATGAATGTTATTACGCGAACATGACGATTGATATTTGTATCGGCATTGGACTATTATCCCCGGCTCACATGTGAAATCCTTGTGATGCCTGCGACGACCCTGTGATACAAGCGGATTTTGATTTTGGTTATTACCTATATCATTTAAAATACTACAATATAGTTTAAAACATCGTCTATACTTACAATAAATAAATTCCAAGAACAAACGTTTTCTGAGCTATCGACTTAAGGAAAAATTGTTTACCCATAGTCATTGTTACAACAATAAATAACATTGAAAACATAGTGCTTTAAGTAATTTTTTCCACTCTTTTACTTTCGTAGTAGCACGATCCGTGTCAAAAACTAAAAGATTGAAGTCAATCATATATCAGAATAATTGTCTTTTAGAGGTACTAAATTGATGGAAAAATACCAGGCTAGGCAGAAAGCATCTTAATTTTTAATATAAAAAAGTGTGCAAACAAACTCAGGGCGCAACTACCATCCCATAGACGCTTGCGATAGTAGAATATCACTCGCTCTTTATTTCCCCGTGAAGCTTTCATGACCTAATACACTATCCCCCTTATTAATAAACGAAGATTAAGCTTGGATTACTGACTCTATATTTTGTCTATAAAACACAGTGTAACTAGTCTAAGCTTGCACTTACTATTACATGTATATAAATAGGGGAGTACAGGAATACAGCACTACAGAATAGTGTTATTTGGATGTAATCCTTTTAGGACGAAAGTAAATTTTCCAGACGGGTGCTTTATATCTCTTCAAATATTTTGATAAAGTTGTTGAATTCTATTTCACATATTTTTTTTTATCTTACAGACTAATAACTCCACCCACGTGAAGCCACGACAAAGCGGATAGTAATTAATAAATAAGTTATATTATTCTTATGTTTCAAACTGTTACGACTTTGTGTAAAACTAAAAATACAAAAATACTTTTCAATCATGACGTTTTCTTAACAATTTTAATAAAAATATTTTAAGCGAACATGATTTTAAGAAGCTAATAAGATAGAATAAGTTGTAAAAAGAAACTTTGTTAATAACAGTAATTACTTGTATAATTAAACCATAATTCATGATTGGTTCGAAACGGCTTGAAACATCTCAAATAACACACACAATAGATTTTAATGTGAGCGTTAATTTCCTTGCAATTTTGATTCGAAAGACCAAATCCGTTGTAATCTAGCAACGTGAACGCGAAACATTGTTAATTCTAATTCCTCGTTTAAACTTAATGACTTTCGTTGTTTCAGATAAAATGAAAATGGAGAGGAGGATCGCGGGAATAATCTACATCCTGATCACTTTCGCCCTTGTAAACGAAATGTCAATTAACGTCCAAGCAAAAGACAACAACAAGAGAAGGCCTAAAGATAAAACTGGGGGGTTTCAAAAGAATATTTGCGACGTCAGCGACCGTGATTCCAAAGTCCACTGCTATTGTGAAAACAGTAGAGAACCAAGGAATGCAACTAAAGCGGAATGCTGGGTATTTAATGGTGGAATACCACGGGACGATTTAATCTGGCAAAGTTTTGCCTCGCAACCAACTTTGCAAACTTTGTCTTTTAATGTCCGCGTTGATGGAGCATTGGGATACGTCCCGACAAAGGCGCTTCACTTTCTCAAAAACCTCAGCTCCATTAATATAAGGTACGGCAATATAGTCGATGTGACAGCGTTTGCTTTCGCCAATCTCACAAACTTAACCGATATAACGCTGTCACAAAATCAGATAGAAAACTTACAACAGTACGCCTTTGCTCACCTTCCAAACATAACGCTAATAAATCTTGAAGACAACATGATTCTTGAGATTGGAACAGAGGTGTTTTTTGATTTACCGAAGTTACACAAACTCGTCTTCACTAAGAATAACATATCGTCGATAACAGACGGAGCGTTTTTGCACACGTTCAATCTACTAGAATTGGACTTGAATAAAAACAACATAATCCATTTGCGGCGTCGCACGTTTGATGGATTGGCCAACTTGCGGAAATTGGATCTGAGGCGGAACCGCATTTACAATCTGACTGAATATACTTTCGCAGAACTGTGGAACTTACAGGAACTGTTGCTTGGCAAGAACGACTTGAAGTACATTTCAGAGAGGGCTTTCGACGGTTTGTCTCAACTCCGAAAGTTGTCCCTGGATGATAATAAACTGGCAGCGCTCCCCGCGCACCTATTCGAAGGGGTGAGGGGACTCAGCTCCCTAGATTTACGTTCAAATGAACTGCATGCATTAACTTTTGACAACATAAAACCTATTTTGGACAACTTGAAGCCGCAGAACAGCAATTTGCTGCTCGAAGGTAATAATGAATATTTAATACCATATCATGTGAAGTTTCAAGAACTTATAGCACACACTGAATATTAAATGAGCGGAAACACAGGCGGTTATTATTAACTTCAACACATTTAGGAAGTTTGTTCTTTTATGTTTCCTTCGGGCTTCTTTAAGATAATGATTAAATACGGAGTAGAGAGAATTGTCAATTTCTAGTTTCACTTACATTAAAATAACCAATTTAATAAATAATAAAGTTGAAATAATATTATATTTTGTATCTTAATATGACAATTTTATACGGTTTATAATAATTAAATTTTTATATTTTCACAGAAAACAACTTCGTGTGCGACTGCAGATTAAAATGGATGCACTTATTAAGAAATGAGACAAAAAGTCAAAATACGCGATTGTCATTGGAAAGTGTTACGTGTAAAGTAGACCCGCCGATCGTAAGCTCAGCTTACAATAAGATGTCTGATGTCATAGAAAATAAAATCCAATTTAATCAGGAAATTCTGCATGCGGGGATAACGATTGAAACTTTAAACGATAAAATGAACATCACTGAAAAGAAAACTATACCGGAGGAGCTGAATAAAGAAAAAAACAATGGTATAACTGTTACTAAAAAAGCTGCGAAGAGAGTTATATTAAAAATCCCACCGGAGAATTTGCCTTGCCCGAGAGAAACGGAAACGACCACCGAAGCACCTGCTTTTGTAGTTGATCCAGTGATACCAATTCAAAATGAAATGAAAACTTACAGATTTCAAGAAACGAACGCAGCGTACAGACTTTCTCATAAATCTAGTTCAGTATTATGGTGTTGTTTGGCGTTTTTCTTCACTTAGATATAATTAAGTATGTAATTAGGGTTATGTCACTAATTCTACGTAATTGAGATAACAGACTATGTCACCTTAAGTAAACCGCTGGAGTTTATAATAAGGGATTAATTCTATGAGCACTTAAACATTTATTCAAACAATAATGTGATTGTATTCACCGTAAATGTTGTAAATTACCGGATTAAAAGTTAGCGCTAAGTAGATTTATGAATGTAAATTTGATTCATTTTATGCGTTTTCGAGTCAAATGCATCATCAAAATTCAATTCAGAATGGGTGTGAGCATTTTCGTCACTTACTTTCGACGAGTTACGTACCTTATGAGTTACCCAACGATATTTTTTTATTCTTTAGTGTAAAATTATATCCATTCTTTAAAAAAGTCTAGTTTTTTGGTTTATATTCACCGACGCTGAGAAAAATGGTATCACATTATTTTTTGATAAACAATAACAATTCAATTTGTTTATGTGTCAGTGACGTAATTCATCATTATCAACCTATTAAACCACTTGTTACGGTTACACCTGTTTTGGAAGAATCTCTGTGATTGTTATACACAATACAATACAAAAACTCTTTATTGTACACCACGAAAAACATTGAACAATAAGCACGAAACCATCTAGTACAAGTGATGCAATGGGCTATACACACACTCATGAAAGCATGATTAAGCTATTTATTACGGAAAAGCGGGAAAATGGTGTATGATGTATGGAATGCTAGTAATATGTACGAGTACTACTGATTATTGCATATTTATAGAACTTACTCAAGAAAATAATACACGGTTTCTTAAAGCTTTCGGAATGTAAGTATTATATTTATTTAAATAATAAGAAACAACACATGTTTTTAAATATATTAAATATGTCGAAGGGGCATGTGGGCGTTCGTTTAGTCATCGTCCATTAGAAATCCTCTAAATAATAATCCGTTTGCGCTGTCTAGCTTTAATAAAGGTAGTCGATCAAATTATCAGTACAATATAAGCTATGATTGCTCAGATGCAAACGGATTTAACCGAAACGTGTTGTTGAAATCAGTAAGGGGTTTGAACACGACCGAACAGCTCGATCTTTAGATCACTAATGTCCCGATAACTGCTTTTTCTTATACCCTACAGCCGGCTGCAAGGTTACGTCAGACACCTGCTGACTAAAACACATACGTAGTTCATGCTTATAGCTAAAAGGCCCTTACAAGCTTCTTCTTAAGCGATCATCCCCTAAGAGGGGAATAATGCAGCCGATAAGTGACGTTTTACTCGTTCTTATACAGCCACCGTGACAGAGGTATAATGTCAGATGACATTGATTAGTAACTAGTGCTGCCAACCCGTTCACCGAATATACCCAAGTCGATACCTTGCCGCTTGACGTTCCGTTCACCAATCCACGACAAATATTATTAGACCAAAATTTCATTCTTCCGATCTTCTTCATTGGTGCCTTGCGAAGAACGGAGGAGCTCCAGATAGTAAATGTTTGGCCATCCATCTAATGACTGACCACTGCGAAATTTACTTAATTTCAACGATCGCAACCGTACGCACTAACCTCTTGCGCCATAGAGCTCCATCTTTTTTTCAATTTGATTTGTGAACTACCATAAGCTAAGTTTGTTACAACCATTTCTAAACAATCAGGTAGATTTTGCTTAAATGTACGTATCCATGGATACACTGGAAAACTTGTCTGTTTTGACATTTTTAAACAAATTATCAGGCAAGTGGTTCAGAAATCAATAAGTTCGATCGTACGTTAAAGTGAATTTGTGTGCATATTCCCCGCCATAAATGGCAGAATGGCTACTTCCTTCCGTGTTGTTCTATGGACTTCAGTTGCCGCTGGGACCCACAGCTTAACGTACCTTCCAAAGCAAGAAGCGGCTGATAACAAATTCCAACTTTAATTTAATATTGTCGAATATCCAATGACGGGTCTTTATGGTAAAGATGATTAAGGTCGACAAACGCAGAAGACCTAATGCATTTACCACTATTTAATATTTAATTATAATAATTATTTATGTTTCTCCAATCAAAGACTATTTTTTGTCAAAAATTGATAACGATATTACATAAGTTTACTTTAGATTTATTGATATTGAATAATATCCTCTTATCTTGCCACAACAACACAATACGGTACAGAAATTTATCGGCATTATTGTTGTTAAAATACAATACACTTTTGCTTATAATATATCTCTGAATGTGCCCATGTTGCTGTGGCCATGCTAGAGGAATAGACTGTCATTAAAATGTCAACAATTTACGATGCATGAAGTAACTAAATGTGAGTGCTCATATCATCGAGTCTGATAAGGTAACATATAAATCTTGTTTCAATTGTGACTCAATAGTATCGGTTTTAGAATGTATCCAAAATGACTGTGGTTCTTGGTAATAAAACACAAGATAACGAATGTATAGAAACAACATAGAAAAGTATATTGTTATTTTGTGATGTACTGAAATGCCACTATTGTTACTTAAACTTAGTAGAATGGACACCTCCATTATTTGATGCCCTATAAGTACATAAACAGTAGATGACTTAGAACAGTTATAAAGATTTTAACAACTAACTTTGTTAGTCTCGGGTTAAACCTAATATTGTTTTCTTTTTAGTAAACGAAAGTGACAGCATCAGTACAGGTCCGTTTTAGTACAGGTTTAATTGAACTTTAGTCTATGTTTTGTAATAAGGCGGTTTAACTTTTGGGTTAAGAAAAGTTACTTCATTCATCATTTTATGAATAAGTTAATAAAGAAAAGGTAGGAAAAGGTATCTTAGAATTTGAAAATAATAAAAAGACGTCAGTATTAATTGGTTAATTGATTTCATTTTATATTGATATTGTTTTCGTAAAAACTTTTGAAAATGATTTTTAAAAAACTAATTAGTTACATATGTTATAACTACTAGTATATCACTTTCAACAACTTAGAACATATTATCTTTCACCATAGGGAGGTATAATCTGTGTTTTATTTGAGTCTACTTTGTCCAAAATGTAAGAGATTAGTTTTTCAATCCAATAACTCCGGCTTAATGTATACCTTTGCAGTTGGATAACAAATGACTCCGTATTACAACATCTGTTTTGACAATTGGTACTAAAAACTTCCGAAATGCGGTAATTAACTTTCTCAATTATATTATAACCAGCCATATTGATAAAAGTGAAACAACCCATAGAATGCGCCGGACTTTCATTTGGCCTTACCGTTGATCCTTCTCCAAACAAAATGGCTCTATTTGCAACCAAATGTCAAATTGGATTTCAACGGCTCATTCTACAATGCGACTGCGGCATATATCTATGCACCATGAATATTGAGTTACTTGAGTAACTTAAAAATCGTGTAAATAAAAATAGTGATAACGGTTATTAACAGTAGACGTACTACACCCTCTTACAAAAATATTGATTGATATCATTTACAGAATATCGTATAAACAGTGCAAATTTGTAATTAACAAACCATTATGAAATTGTTATCCGTTTAAAGTAGACACGTAGATCTAAAGAAAATATAACTAGAAAAAATTCCACGCGAATTAGCTCAAAATATCAAGCAGTTACATGCTTCAAAAAATAAAAATTATAGATACGTAGATCCCAAAAGATGTTTTAATTTAATCAATTTATGACAACTAAAATTGTTAGGGTTTCAGCATTGCAGTTTTTTTAAATCTTTGGTTTACAGGATATTTTGGAACTATATAAGTCAATATCAATCTAAATCGTTGTCTAATTTCGCTAGTAAATCGCGGGTAACTCAAAATTCACGGTGTATATAAAGCTAGTTCTGTAGTTTAGTGAGTATTTAACTGTACGTGAGTACTTTAAAGATTAAGAGCGGAAACCATAATTCATAACTTATAAAGCTAGTTCTGTTTATACAAAACTAGATTAGGCTTGCTAGTAGCTAATGTCCCCACTGCTGGGGCACAGGTTTTCCCTGTGGATGGAATATTGAGACCCACCACGCCGGCATATGGCAGATTGGTGGGTGCTTACGACAGCAAATGCAATCGGGATCGGATCAGTCCATTTGGCTACACCTTTGGTCACTTATCTCATGAGTGGCCATTTTTTAATGTTAAAAAGAGTGGCAAACAAGCTTATGGCCCGCCTGACCGTACGCGGCCACCATAGCGATGCAAAAAATATCACTCGCGCCGTTGTCTACTCTAACCCAATCCCCTACCCCGTGGAGCCCTGGAACCTTACTCACTTTCTGACAGAAACAAAACACCACCAAAATGAAGCGTTATTGTACTACTGAAAGGTGGAGGTTTCTTCCCCAAACGGGCGTTCCAATTCGAGTGGAAAATCCAGTGGGCATACTGGACTTCTCATATGAGTTGCTTAACTTCCATGATTGCAAGTCGAATGTGCTAACTAATTTCTGCCGAGTTCCTCTTACATTCACTAAATTGCTATCAGACAAGTTAGAAAAAAAAAATTTGAATTAGCGACTGTCGTGCGAATCCGGGGTGTTTGATATCAAAATCCGATTCAGGATTTAGTAATATGAGTAACAGAAAGAAGAATTTACCCGGGTCCCCTGGGTGGACCGCAAATTTTTTTTCCTTTTTACTAGGTAATCACGAAACCCCCTCCTCACCCCCGGACCTGTGCAACTTCAAAAATTGGATTTGATATCTAATTTGAATTCAGGAAAAACATTTCTTTAGGTAACCCTGACGCTTTTTTTTTATAACGCAGGTAAAAAATGCTATTTACAGACGACGGCGCCTCTAAGAGGCACACCGCCGAACGGACCTCACACCTGGCTCCCGCAAGTCTTACGGGCCCCCCAGTGGCTGTCCATCGAGGACCCCGCAACCCTTACGGGCGCTTTACGGCATAATATCCGCTAAAAAAGTCCTGCGAATACCCTCTAAGCTGCTTAGCGCGAAGCCGCGGGATCTCCGTTTAGGGATTCTTCCGCATCTCCGCACCTAGCAGCCTCCCGGCCTAGCCGGGGCTCCACGGCAGGGATCTCCCGGGGTATCACGGGGACCTCGCAGACGTGCGCAGGTAGGCCCACGCGTGGGGGCTGAGTATGCGGCCTAATGCCCACCGTACCGCCCCCCGTCCGCTGCGGAGGGCTACTTGGGCGTGCCCGTGTAGCTCCCTCCGCCGCCCCCCTCTTTGCAGGACAGAAATACAGGAGGGGGCTGCCGTCACGAGGTCCGTCGGTGGCCGGCACAGCCATCGCCATGCATGGGACGGGCGCAGCCAGGGCGCGTCGCCGTCCTCTCCTACCCGTCCTCCTTTGGCGGGAGGGAGTGGCCAGAGAATCATCCTCCCGCTCCCTCTCGGCCGCCTCCTTCTGCGAGATAACGTTCTCGCAGAAGGAGGCGGCCGCCTCCCATGCCCTATCGCTGCGGAGCATGGCCTCCACCATGCTCCGCAGCGAGAGGGCTCCGCATCCCAGCGCCGCAATGAGCTCACGGCGCTGGTGTCGCCAGGCCGGGCACTCCAATAAGGTGTGCTCGGCCGTGTCGTTCGGGGCGCCGCAATGATGACATTGCGGCGTCTAGGTAACCCTGACCCTGCCCCTCCCCCCGTGATTGCCCTGGGTGGACCGCAATCCCCAATCTGATGAACCCGTGTATCGATTTAGCGACCACAAATTACTCATAGGTCCAGTTAGGTCATATAACACTATATGACCAAGTTTCTAGGCTTGGAAAAACACACCTCCGTGCAGAAATACAGACAGACACGAACTAGCTATAGATTCCAAAGGTGAATAGTAAACTATCCAACACAAAACAAGCCTCTTGTATCCCGTATCTTCAAAACATAACTTCTTTATCACGCATTCGTTCACTTGTGT